TTACTGGGCTGATCTGTGGTTTCCAGCTGAAGTTATCGTTTAATATGACACCCAATTATTTCATGTACTTGTTCTAAATCAACACTTTCAATTGATATTTTAATTAGATTATTTTCCTGTTTTTTATTGTTTCCGAATATCATGAATTTGGTTTTATCTAAATTTACAGATAATTTATTGTTTTTGAGCCAATGCTGTAATTTTTCTATTTCTGTGTTAACCACTCCTGAAAGTTGTTGAATGTTTTCTCCAGTACAGAAGATACTTGTATCGTCTGCAAATATAATGTATTTTATAAGGTTTGATATTTTGACTGTCATTTATATACAAATTGAACAATTTGGGTCCCAAAACTGATCCCTGTGGAACTCCACAAGTTATGTGTAGTAAGTCTGATTTCTGACCATCTAATTCTACAAATTGTTTCCTTTCTCCAATGTAGCTCCTAAGCCAGTTTAGCTAACTAAAATAAATAAAAATTATAATAAAGTGGAAAAAAAACGATAACTAACTAAACTGTATAATCTTTTTACAAAACTCAAACTAACTGAAATTATAGATAGAATATCCTTAGTTTTAGTGTTTGTCAATTTCTTTATTTCTGGAGTAGTTTCACATTAGCTGTGGGTTGTAACAACACTTACAGTCTGCTGCTGCTCAGCATCGTCTGCCGGATGAAAACAACAAAAGTTGGGAGAAAGCAGCGATGTCCACTTTGAGATTTCTTTGAATATGACTGCGAGAAAAATCAAAACAAGTGTCTTGTAGTGGAAACAGGTGATAAAACAGGTTGAATTCTTCTCAAAGGAAAAACTGCATGAATCGAACTCACACAAGATGGCTAACTATGAGCATCTCAACACGCTAGCTTCTCTCTCTCTCATGAAAAACAAGCAATATGTACTGTAGTTTGGAGACAACTGTTGTCGTTGTCCTAAAATAATCGCACAAGTCCTTAGTTGGCAAATATGTTTATTCAAACTATTAAAAAAACTAATAAAAACTAAAACTAAGCATTAAAAAAGCAATAATAACTAATAAAAACTTGCAAATCCCCTGTAAAAACTAATGAAAACTAACTGAATTAAAAGAAAAAAAGTCACAWCGAAATAAAACTAAACTATATTGAAAAATCCAAAACTATTATAACCTTGCTTCCCGTTGCTTTTGGTCACACTGGCCACTGTTTATCTGGTTTGTAATCGCGCTCTATTGATCCATTTTGATAATGAATTCTGGTCACTGTTTAATATTCTCTTTGCCAAAGCGTTTCAGCATAAAGAGAGGTGAAATGATGCTGTTGAATGTAGAATTTCAGGTACCTGAATGCAACATTTAAATATTTAGAAGTACGAGAAGCGGAAGGGAAAAAGTCAGCTCTGTCGGTTATAATGTTAATTTGTGTTGCAGCGACAAGGAAGTTCGAGTTGAAGTTGCCAGGCAGAGGGAGATGAAATGGATCGACATGTTCAGCCACTGGGATAAATGGATCAAACATCGCTTCATGAAGGTACGCACGGCTAAAACTGAGCGTGCTCAGGCTGGTTATAGCTGATAGATGGTGTTGGCTAATGCTGCACGCGTCGTTCCAGGTGAAGCTGCGCTGCAGGAAGGGGATTCCCTCGTCCCTCAGGTCCAGAGCCTGGCAGCTGCTGTCCGATAGTGAGGAGCTTTTAATGGCCAACCCTGGGAAATTTGAGGTGATTCAATTTCTACATGCCAACAATAAAAACACGTTTTAGTTTTAAACTGAAATCTCTAAGCATTTAAAACTAAATTAGTAATAAATGTACTTCTTGGAAAGTGAATCAACTGTTATGTTTTGATTAAAGGACCTAAACGTGGGTTTAGTCTAACACAGGCTATTCAACTAAATCAGACTGGGGGCTGGGGTTACTTGAAACCCACAACTCGGGGGGCCTGGCAGCAGGGAGGGTGGTGMCCGTTAATTGTAGGTGTAACACTGCAGCATGTAAAAGAACAACGAATATCTTTTACGTTTTAATTGTATTTTGTTGCATTTATTTACAAATTATTTGAAATATGTTTCTATTAAAGTGCCAGTGACCTCACATTTTTGTAGTAAACATGAATGCATTTTTGGAAAGATAACATTGATAAAATATTGCAAAACAAATTTCACGCCACTGAGATGAACAGTTGTTGATGATGAACAGCATGTGAAGAAACAGGAAGTGATGTCAAAGGGTAGTGTCAGCAGGTAAACAGAGCGTTGTTACTAAAGCTAACAACATGGACTGTAGAGAAGAATCTGATGGTTCTTTAGATTATTTTTAGTCGCTGTCAAAGAGAGACAAACAAGATTTAAAGTGTAAATAATTTTGTTTTAATAAACAAAGACCAGTGACTTTATTTTATTAATGAGTCCCCCTTTGATGTCACATCCTGTTTCACTTTGGCTGAGCTAAATTTAAAAGAAAATAGGCCAGTTATGTGACAAAATGGGTAAAATCYTGTGTACTCTGCCAATTTTCTTAAGTAAAAAGATGCTTTCTTTGACTTTTTGTATTTGAAGGATATGTACATCACAGACGCTTTAAATCCTATTTATATTAAATTAAGTAAAAAAATAAAAAAGTGGGCCAGGTGATACTCACCTGCAAGCCAGTTGTGGCCCGCAGGCCGCCAGTTGAATAGCCCTGGTCTAGCAGGATTTTGGACTTGAGTAGGGTAATTTTATCTCCAAAAAAGGCTGCAGAAGCAGACCTAAGCTGTAAGCCTCTTATCAGGAGCAGTAATCCACCCGGTCAGGGTCCAGCCTCTTTGTCCAGGCGTGAGGGTCCGGCCTTAGCTCGACCCGAGACCCATTGTTTCTGTAATATAAAAGAAAACCCTTTTTCTTTTACCCTTTTAGACTAATTTTTAAACGTGTTTTCACTTATTGTCCTCTAACGACTCCACAGACACCTGAGGGTTCAGCTAACATGTCAGCTAACAGCTAGCACGTGGTCAAAATGTTCTGTTGCAGGAGCTGGAGAGAGAGCCGGGGGAGGCCAAATGGTTGGACATYATAGAGAAGGATCTTCACAGGCAGTTCCCCTTTCATGAGATGTTTGCTGCTCGTGGTGGTCATGGGTAAACTTTCCCTCGTTGTTTTGCATCATAAATAAATATGCATAACTAAAAATACCTCAGGGTTTCCCCACATCCTTTTAATAAGAATGATACTATTGGAAAAAAGAGGAAATTATAATCTATAAACGGTTTTTTATAAACGGAGTTTTTACATCAGAGACGTTCACGTTGGGTAATTCGGTGGCTTTTCCTCCTGCAGACAACAGGATCTTTACAGGATCCTGAAGGCCTACACCATCTACCGGCCTGACGAGGGCTACTGCCAGGCCCAGGCTCCGGTGGCCGCCGTGCTGCTGATGCACATGCCTGCAGAGGTGAGCGCTTCTGCAGCACTTCCCAGAAAGTGGAATTCCGTTACTTAACGTCTACATTTGGGKTTTTTCTCCAACAGTTTATTAAGTAGCACAAATTCACCATTTCTTTATTTTATTCCATCGTTCTTTCATCCTTAAAATGTCACTGAGTCACGTTAGGTGTTTTTATCGTGTTCTTATTTACTCAAAAATCTTTTTTTTTTGGTTCAATCTGAGTTTTTTTCTCATTCTACTCAACCTTCTCACAACAGCAGAGAGTGGGCAGAGTGAGAACTCTGAACACAGCCGAACAAGAAGTTACAAGTTTCATTTTAACACAAGGACAAAGAGTGTGGGYGCAGATTTTTTAATTATAAACTTAATACTTCATTCATTGCTGTGAAGCTTTAAAATATCTTATTTTATTTGGTGCGGCTGCTGCAAGATGCAAACATAAAAGAAGCAGCAGAATTATAAATATTTTAAGCAAAGACTTGATTTTTAAAGAAAAACAAACAAATAAAGATATTTAACAGTTTTTAAAAAAGATAAAACTTTATTGATCCCACAATGGGGAAATGTACACATTACTGCAGCTCAGTACAGGAGAGGCTGAAATTATAGTAGAATAAAAAGAAAACACTTTATACATAAAATATATAAAAGACGTGTATAAAGTACTTGAAAAAAATAAAGTAAAAGTAAAAAAAATGACTGGTAAAAGTCAATTTCACTGATGAGAAAACTACTCAAATAAAAGTCATAAAACTGTTCACAAAAATTGGGAAAGTAAAAGTACTTTTACACACTCTTAAGAAATAAACTGTTGAATTTACTGAACCAAACTGGTTCCACTAAGTCAGGTTGAGTAAATTGAGCAATATGTGTTTATTATTTGCTCAATTTACTCAACTAGGTTTAGTGGAACCAGTTGACGTGACTTTGTTGAGTAAATTCAACACTTAATTTTTTAGAGTGCAGAAACTTCTTTCATGAGTTGAAACATAGAAGTAAAAGTATCATTTTTAGCTTTAAAATGTAACGAAATAAAAGTGAAAGTAGCAATTTAAAAAAGTARTTGGTAAAATTACAAATCCTCAAAAAAACTAAAGTACTGTAACGAAGTAAATGTACTTAGTTACTATAAACCTCTGTACATATACATAAACCCTCTATATATATACAGATATCAAACCACCATATATATATTTGTATAATAATTAAATTTGTTTTACAGCAAGCTTTCTGGTGCCTCGTCCAGATCTGTGAGAAATATCTTCCTGGTTACTACAGCGCCGGGCTGGTGAGTAGAAAATACAACAACAAAAAACCGTCTCATTCTGAGGGTTTCTCAGATTCTGATTGGACAAGCCTTTCTTCTTCCTCTCCTACCCTTTTTCAGGAAGCGATTCAGCTCGACGGCGAGATCTTCTTCTCTCTGCTGAGGCGCACGTGTCCCATGGCGTACCGCCACCTGAAGAAGTTCAAGATCGACCCGATCCTCTACATGACCGAGTGGTTCATGTGCATCTTCTCACGCACGCTACCCTGGTCCTCCGTCCTGCGTGTGTGGGACATGTTTTTCTGCGAAGGTAGAACTCTTCCCAAACGACTCCTTTTTACCTCTTTTTTTTAATTTATAGACGTCTTACTTATCACAGGAAAAACTGGAGTGTTAAACTTTCAGTGTTAAACTTTCAGTGTTGAACTTTTCAGGGTTAATTTCAACTCCCCAACTGTTATTTTAACACTTTCTGAGTAAACTGACATCTAGTGTTGGTGTTAATTCACAGTGTTGATTTCCTCAGTGTCGTCTCAACACTGGACAGTGCATTTTTCTTACACTTTAACTGTTAATTTGTCATTTTGACTGACGTTTTGGGCTCTTTTCCTACCTTCTATATTAAATTGCATTTGAGATTAAAAAAAAAACACTATACAGTGTTAATAAGCTCCRCCCACTGTTGTCTTGTATAACACGTAACAGTGTTGTTATAGAACACAATGCAGTGTTGAAAGAAGCATTCTGAAAAGCCCCGCCCTCTTCCTCGTGGACCAGAATTTTCTCAGCAAGGGATTTCTTGTAGAAATGATGTGTTTACATGTCGAAGATTATTAAAAATGTTCATGAGTGTAAAAATGAGTTGTTCTTGTTAGTTTTCTTGTTCAGGTTAGTTAGTTGTTCAGATTTAAGTTTTGTGTTATTGGTCATAAATCGACACCATGAGTGAGAGCTGCTTCCTGGTGTGTGAAGGGTCACTCTGTTGCACGTGACACGTGACCTGTGTTAATGCAACAATAAAGAGTTGATTTTAACTCTAGGACAGAGTGCAGGATTCTGTGTACTCTGACTCACTGAGAAAAACTAATAATATTGCACAATGACGTGTGTTTTTTAATTAAATTTAGTGTAAAATTCACTCCATAAAAATAACATTTTTACTCTGTAGTGTTAAATAATTTTACTCATTTCATTGTTGATTTAGACTAGTGATGGGATAAATGGCTCTTTGAAGGGATTCGGATCTTGGGGAGCCGTTTCTTTCATAGAGCCGTTCGATTTTGAACGTGTTACGTCATCACGTAGGGACATGATGACATCATCACGTGGGCGGAACCATGTGTTTGTCAAGCGGAAACCCCTCCCCCTTCCCCCGTGAGCTTCTGTACTCCACCGCTCTGCCTGTTTTCCGTGAAAAAAGCAAAGTGGGAGCTATTTAAGTATGAAAAAATAAAGATTATATGAGGAATAAAAG